GACTTCAGTACGCCATTATCAGATACATTGACTTTAATTCGTCTATTATGTAAGACTTTAGGAGATAAGGGTGCAAAGAAAGCGAGGCTAATTTTTCAGGATAATAATGCAACGAAGACTCCTCAAAACCAACAGTAACAATCAATTAGGAGTTTTGTGCGTACAAAAGGAACATATTACATGTATTTATAACAATTTTAGCTCGTACGTCCCCACCGAGGGACTCGGAGCCTACCCTAAGTTAATGGTGACTAAGCTAGTAGTCAACCACGCTGGCCAAGTGCGGGTTGGTTGACTTCACACATATCTTTGAATTTGTTCTCAGAAATGTGCAGGTTGCATCGAGATGTTTTCCTTTACCGTAAGAACGTCGGATAAATGTACATATGTAAATCGGAAATCGAAAACACATTGGTACATGGCGGGATTCGAACCTAGGACTTGCAGATTGCAAGTCAAGTGCTTGACCCCTGAGCCACCGACGCTTGTGTAACTGTAAATAACATAAAAAATTCTGAAGCTAAAAAAAACTTAATTATGCCTGCATCTATGTTCTATATACTTGGATAAAGCATTTTTTCAGCTTTTATTTTAATCTGAGAAAAAAGTTTCTATAAATAAATTAATTATGAGCAACTTATTCTTTTTTCGAATCGTTTAATTCCAATAGAATTTAAAATACTAACTAGCAACGCTGGGCAATCCAATAAAGAGTTAGAATATGCATCCGGCGAGTGATTTATAAGCTACATACGTAGTACATAAACCCGGCTCCTGCCCACCGCAGACTATTTCAAACATTAAATTTACACGCACAATAACTACATTTCATAACTACACAAATGATATGTGCATATGCATACAAAATTAATATATCCATCCTTTACTGCTGTACGTATTTCTCAGTTTCAATTAATAAAATAAGCTACAACAATCGCAAAGGATATATAAGTATTAAAACAGTGAAAATCTATTTATCTATGATTGCTCTGAAACTACGTGTACAACTGTCAATACCGCATTTCAACAGTTATATTTCATATATCGACTATGAATTAATCCTAAAATGATTTTACCCGGAAAATGGTAATTCACTTTTAGGTTATAAATTAATATGAAAAAAACATGAAATGCAATTATATTTTTTTTTAAATCAAAATACGATTTTAATGGCGACATATTGTATAAGGTTTTGTTTTCTTCATAGTAATTTGTGTATTTCGTGGTATTAATTAAAAGCTTGTATTTGGGAAGCGCGCGGCTGCCGGGGGACTGTAGCACGCAATTAATTATAATAACACATTAATTGTTTTCTGCTTCGTGTCACTTTAGGTTAAAACATAACGTCGATGTAAACCATTCACGAAATTAATAGTAAATAATCCCCGCGCATGTACAATCTGTTAGGTTAGTTCGCATTGAATACAACCCTTTCAACTTGCAAAGTCGACAGTTTACATTTACACAGGCTTTTGTTATATTAACTGCCGCTTAGTTACTGAACTAGCAGCTTTTGAGTACCAAATCCAAATTAAGGTTGTCCTTAAATATCTCTGAGTTACATTAAATACTGATCGTTATTAACATCGACTGTGTATTAAATAAAAATAAACAGTTGGCTATTAATTATTGAAAGGTATCCGGGAGTAAATATTTTTGTTGCGGGCGAGGAAGGGGCGCGGAGTGCGGGGACGGTGCGGGGGGCATGGGCGCTGTTGTTTCAGTTGTCTGTAGCTCTGTAGCGGTTAGTCAGCCGATAACTGTTTTCAAAGTGAATAATTCATGATTCACAACTCCACGATAAACGTTGTCTGTATTGTGCTGTCTGTGCTTATTTAATTATACAACATAATTATAATACTCACAATGCATGATATTAACAATAACCTCCATTCATCAAATTACGGAAATGTCGACAAGTTTTAGTCACAAGTATGGCCGACAAATGTTTCAAGTCCTTAAAAGGTTAATTCAGAAAAACGATTTTTTTAGTTTGCCATGAATCAGTTTACATTTTCTTATAATCTTACAATTATTATAAATGCGACAGTTTGTTTTGATTGATGGATGTTTGTAACAACGTATCTCCAGAACGGTTCAACGGATCTCAATGAAATTCGGCATGGATGCAGAACATCTGTCTAGACCAACACATAGGCTACTAATATTTTTTTACTTCGGCACGGACAGAGTCACGGGTGACAGCTAGTTATAAAATATGCACGGTATACAAATCCACTGCAAATGACACAGCACGCAAGACGTAAAACTGACAAGTTGCTTGACGCAAACTAAAACTCGTAGCACACGAGAGTGTGTCGTAGACATGCGTCGCCCTAGCAAAATGCATTGTGAATTTTCAATTGGTGTGAATGTGAAATACAATTAAATTGTAATGAAAAAAAATCTTCTTTGTTATATAACACATCTAGAAACTAATTTAAATTACTGTGCCAAAGTCCAAATTCGAATGAATAATAGTTTCAACATTGTGGAATAGTTTAGGGCTCTTTTTACTCGCCATCACAAGCTGCAATATAAACTCGATGACAATGTTAACAAAAAAATAATTAACAAGCTGTATATTGCTACTCACTGAGTAATATGATAAATATACAGCATGTTACGAGATTCTAAGAAACTTAATTCTAAAGTCGGAGCCAGCTTCTTGTGTTTAATATTGCGGAATGTGCTACGTTTGGTTTATCCTGCAAACAGCGGGCGTGTTTTTGCTATTGCGATACTTCTACTGAACTGAGGTTTCCATTTCTACTGATTACTTTAAACAGTACTTGAATGTTAATACGAAATTAGAATATTGTTGAATAGAGTGTAATTGTGGGATTCCAGTATCAAAAAATACGTTTACAATCTTACTAATATTATAAATGCGAATGTTTATATGGATGGATGTTTGAAGGTATCAGATGTAGAACATATAATGGAAGAACACAAAGGCCACTTATTACCTTTTTTTCTTTCATTTCCGCGCGGACGGAGTCACAGGCGACAGCTTGTATAACATTACTTATGTTACAAGACTTATCGTAGTGGAATTTCACGATAAGTATGTACAGAGATCATTTGTTTCGATCTTTCTTTGATATACAGTTGTTCTTTAAGAAATATAACTATGATAATACAAAAAATAATCAGTCTGAAAGTTCTACGAAAGAAATAACACCTTGTCAATAGAGGGCATCTACATGGGTTGCTGAAACGCGCCGTGCGGGCGCCGGTTCGCAAATGAGTTTTCTCAATATTACCAAAATGCTTTTGTTTACTACGTCTTGAACTGATCAGACGTGACAACGCATTCAAATAAAGTTTGATTAAAAAGTACTGACTATTTTTTACGAGTATATATATATATATATATATATACTCGTACATTCCGAACATGAACCCAATGTGGGTTATCATTAGAAGTCACATTCTATTATAACATAGTTATACAGCAATTTAAAATACTTATAGACTGACACAGTTTTCACGTTTCAATTTTATATTCAAACATCAGAAAAAATTATTACTCTAACATATTCTAAAAGTTTGACTTCATAAAAAAATGTTATAATTGCACAAGTACTAAACTTATTTATAGGTAAAGTTTCTATATCTAAAGTTTTAAATCGGATATATAACGTTCATCCTATTTATTCCCTAGACCACTTTCAGGATCGATTTTATCTTTCCTTGGTATATATGAATTATTCAAACCGAGGTCGCAGCATAATTTCTTTGCTCAAGATTTCTATCTAACTTTAAACGAGACTATTGTCATAAACGTGGTAGATATGTCTTTTATAATAAATATTAAATCATAATGATTGACAAAAAAAAGTTTTAAAAGAATCCTAATATAAATTTATATAAACATAATATAACCGCTTACATCAAACAGCCAAACACGATGTAACAAAAATGTTAGTAATGTTTAAAACATAAACATTTTGTGATTATTCACGTTAAGCATCCACTTAGCCTCATAATTGGTGTACGCTTAAAGAAAAGCATCAATAAACTACAAAAGAAAACTACACTTTAGCCATGTTTGTTGAACTCGAAGTTTTAGTAGCAACATTTTAGAAGTTTTATTATCTGAGAAAAGGAAGTTATTCTTACTTCTATGTTGGTTAATTTTGCCTATTCTGTAATTTGGTCGTGAAATACACTAAATGAAAACTTTTGTCCCGGAAATCATTATTTCCTGCAAAAGATTAATGTTTAAATTGCAAACACCCCGTCTATTGTTCTATTGTTTCAATCTTGACTTGACAGAGGTAAATCTTTTCTGCGCACCAGTTTCGGAATTAACTTTGTTAGGTAATATGTTAATTATTATACTTTTAAATTCGTTTCTTTCTAATATACTTAGCTACTAGCTGTCGCCAGGACTCCGTAAGCGAGAATTTTAAAAAAAAACCTAAATTAGCGCTATCCAAGTAGCCGTTCTGGAGATACATTCTGACAATCATTCACGCATCCATCTATGCAAACATTCGCATTTATAATATTAGTAAGATTATATTACGTTTTTCAAGCCTTAATTTAAATCATTTTAAACTAAGATTCGTAAATTTTACATTTTTAATGTGTATTTTAAATATATTTTGTTTTGAATTTCTGTCCAATAATGATGTATTTGCCACCTTTCGAATATACTATTACATCAGGTAAGTTTGCGGTAAAATGTTTATCAAACATAAAAAAGTCTTATGTAAAAATTAAAATAATAACGTCGATTTATGGAAAGCCGAAATTAAGGGCACCTTTGTTAATGAAATACCGCGGCTCACTGAACAACTCTACTTAATTACTTACAAAGGTTTTACTCACTCATGTATGTTTAGCATAATATTTTTTAATTATTTTTTAAATTATATTTAAGATAAAATAATATATGTTAACAATCTTATTTTAATACCAATAAATCTTACTATAGTGAGTCACAAAAATGCTAAACAAAAGTTTATTTCTAATATTGACCTTTTAATGTTTTTAATGATAAATCCTTTTTAGTTTCAGGTCGTGTACAAACAAGGCAACATTTTACGTTCCATGATATCTTATTCACCGGTTATTTGCGTCAAATTGTTACTATGTCCCATATCCACTTATTGTACAGTTGATTTTTAATATAAAATCAAGTTATTTAACAGTAATTTATTGTATTTTAAATATTCAATATTATGCAGCAATGGGTATATAAATTTGCCAAATATTGTTGGGTAATTCCCTTCCATATATGTCTAAACATGTCTTCATTAAAGGTGTACAAATCTGTAAGTATTTAAAAACAGAAAGTTTACACTTGTTTTTATAAATTCAACACTAAAAAGTACACAATATCAATTTATTTCTTTTTACCTTTCCGTGAAATCCGAAAGCCCATTTTCCAACGTTAATTCCCAAATTAACATTGGTAGCGCAATGGTTTACCACAATATCTATATTAACCTGTGGAAGATTAGTCATTTTACTAAAAATAACACTGAATTCAATCGACTATAATCAATTTTTAGTGTATGACGGCAAATGAGAGAACGGCCAACTAAAATCGCTAAAATAACAATATGACGCAGAGATCTGCAATCACGTATAAGTTGCAGATTACTTAAAAAAAGTAATAGTTTGAATTAACTTCTTACTTGAACTGGAAGTCCTTCTTGTTCGAATCTAGTAATATTAGGTCGCTGAACAGGTAAAAACCGCCAGCGAGTGTTTGATACTGGATTTTCGCTTAAGTAAAGAGGATACAAGCCGCATAACCCCGGTATAGGATTAGGATCGTATCTAACATAAAGAGGCTAAAAATAAAATATCATTTGTTAAGATCTAGGCCGCATAGATAATAAAAAAATGCTATGTTATTTATCTGCCTCTAAAATGACTGAATATTGCATTCATTGTGTCGATTTCTCATACTAAAACTACATTAAGGGACTAGTAGTTATCGCTACTCGACTCTGCGTACACATTAAATATAAAAAATTGGAATACCTTGTAGGTTTTAGTTTATCCGTGAATCTACATAAGTAAAATATCTATGAATTGTAAAAATAACCTCGTAAAGAAATGTTAAAATGAGTAAGTAGGTTAAGTAATATTGAGATAAAGCAAGCGACTTTCGAAAGCGTACCTTTTTGTCTAAAGACGACGCGAGAGTAAGCAAAAATTCTTGGTTGTATTTGAGTGTTTCGCCTTCACGATTGCAGTAGTCCGCACTAGTGATAACGAAAGTGTTTCTCTTTGCCGGCTCGGTCTGTACGAGCCCCACTAAAGAGCAACCATCGACAAGATCTTGAAAATATTCGAGTTCATTCGCTGAAATTCTTCCCCCCAGTAACAGACCCTTTTTATCCTCAGTCGGTGGATCTGTCGCTGTAATTATTATGAAAATAATGATTTAAAAATGCTACGTATACGTAGCATTTTTAAATCATTATTTACTTATATAACAAAAAATATATTTTTTGTTATATAAGTAAATAATAAAGGTAACCATTCTTATATATTACTTGTATGATTTTCATATTATATGTAGTTTCAACTTTTTTTTAATGGAGTAATCTGTGCATTAGAATTTACCATATACTCGTGTGTTACTAGATTTCACAACGTGAGTACATATGTATCTATCGCGTCGGATAGCAACTAAGGCATAGGAAAAAAGATTAAAGGAAATTATTCAATCTAAATGATAAGATTTGAATCATGTGAGTAAAACTGTCATGTTTCTTGTTTATAATAAAAATGAACCTGGTACGTGCGGTGCGAGCAATGATATGCGATCACCGAAGCATATTCTTCCAGTAGACTGAGTCAAAATTGTTGGCTCGTTTAGATTCTTTGTCATTGTTCGATATCTTGCCAATAATAATTCACCATTTTTCATTTGCTCCAGGAATTTATGTATCTTGTGCTAAAAATTATATTGTTTACTTTATATTTAACATTATTTTAAACGTTTTGATGTATACTTATTACTTTTTATAGGCAACAGCAAAGAATATGTAACTACTTCGTCCAATAGTGAGCGACGCTGGTTGATGATGATGTTGATAATTTATTTCAATAAAAACTAACCTCCTCCAATTGCGCCGCTTCATACCAGTTACCTACAAGCACACGATTGCAATAAACTATACCTTTGTCAATATCAGACTTCGACATTCTGAGAAATACAAATAATTATGCATTGATTTTGCTCATAAAAACATTTCAAATAAATCATGTGTCAAATGCTTGTCAAAGCATAGAGCTCTCTTATTTTTTTTTTATATCTAGAGGTGTTCAGTTTACGTACGAGTATTAATTTTTATAAGAAACAAATATTTCTATTTTTTTTTTCTCCCAAGTTTGGTTAGCGATAGGTATAGCGGCTGGCCGTAATAAAATTAAGGTTGAAAAACCCTCATGCACGGAACCCATGTGAGTGGGATAGTACCAGAGAGATAGAAATGTATAGTTAATGTATTTATAAAATATTTATAGAGATCACAAACTACAATGTTTATTTCTTAAAAGTACATAAATTAATTGTACTGTTGCGAGAATAAAATGTTTCATTCATTTCACATCAGGGCTTAAATTAAATAATATAGGAAATCACTGTTTGTCTGTGGTTTAGTGATAGCGAGTAATTAATTGTTTAATAATCATTTAATGTACATTTTGTTTGTTTTGTGTCACATTAATATAAATTGTTTTATGCGCTGTTATTTCCAGCGGATTCATCTTTGTTATGAATATTTCATAATAATTATGACTTATTTGCTATCATTTAAATAACGTTTGTTATAAATTAAGTAATATAAGAGTAATTTTATATATTCCATTTAAATAGAAAAAGAATAATCAAAATAGAATCTTTTAGTATTGAAGAAATTTAGTTATTTCATAATGTTTTAAGCGTAATCTTCTATAGTATAAATTCTCATGTCACAATGTTAGTTACAATACTGCGCCGAAACAGCTTGATCGATTTTTTATTATGAAATTTTATATGCATTTTCAGTAGGTCTAGGCTTATCTTATTTTTAATCCCGTGAGGACAGAGATGCGGGTGATAGCTAGTAAAATATATATAAAAGTGCCGTAAGGAGCTATTTTATCTGGCGATCGAAAACAGTGATTAACACATCTTGATACTAGCAGCATAAAGTGCCAGCTGTTGTGTTGAATCTGTATAAACACAATATAAAGGGTCCTTATATTGTGCATAAATAATAATGCTACAGGTGCCTTTACCTTCATAAAAGCACTGAACGTAACTTTAAACACAGGTTCATATACCACACATCATTGTAAGAGGAAAATGAGATAAATACATAAGATATTTAGCCGACTAAATAATTTTCGTTTTCTTTAATCACTTCTACTTCTTCGTTTATTCTATTTTTTTTAGTTAGTTTACTTTAACCATATTATACGACGTATTTATATCGTTATTTATTGCGAAATAAAAAATAGTGCAGATATAATCTAAAACTCGACCTAAATTATATAGGCAATCTTCACAATTTAACAAATGTTAGTAATCAGAATCATGCTATAAATAAGCAATTTAAAGTTAATTTACATTTCAAATGGAAATAATAGACCTGTCTTCTAGTGCACGTCAAAATCATTCACAATATTAAGCCGCTAATTACGACGGCCAGACGGCGTAGCTTCAGCCAAAGCAATTGTGTTACCGCGGCTCGCTACGACCCGCGTAGCACAACGCTACACATGCAATTTGATTACGACCATGAAAATTGAAACTGTATGGACTTGCCTCTATAATGTGGCACTAAATTACTCTTCAATTCAAGACACAAGAAGAGATTTTAATTACACATTAAGAAGTGAATACAATTTTGTTTTGTATGAAAAGAGTAGGCGAAAATTTGTATTAGTAATTTGGATATAAAGTTTTATGTACTCGAATATTCATTGGTTGAATGTTTTGAATACCTCTCACCTATTTAGTTCCAAAAGTTTTTGGAAAATCTATTCTGTTTTGCTCTTTGAATAAGCTTGTTAACTTATGTCTGTATAAATCCGAAAAATGAAAACACTATTATATTCCAAAAAACATAACACAAAGCTCGTAGCCAAGAGAATGCTTTGTTGTTTATGTAAATATGTAATATTCCAAGCAACAATCGTGTTAGAGAAGACGCGATGTAGTGCCAACGTCTAGACATTGTCAAGACGTGTTCTGACACAAATGAAACCAGACGACATGTAACATATGACATAACTACACAAACCTTGTCGTAGTTAAGGCATGTGGCGTATATCTAATGATCCAATTTACTACAATTTTTTACGCTTCTACTATAAACTATATCATTTTGTTACCAGTCATATGTAACTTCTTTTTAATTATTTTTTTACATTATAAGGCGGCAAAGGAGTAATAGAAATGAAAATAGAAAGAAAATATTTCCCTTTCTATGCGACCCCTCCTCCGTCAATTTCACTACCCACATTTTCCTTTTAAGGAAAGGGTGGTAAGGGAAAGGGGAATAGAGTTTTGTTATTTATTATCAAAAGTGTATTGATTAGCAAGTTACTAGTAGTCAGCGTGGTTGACGAAAACACCACCACCCCTAAATCACCCCAAATTTGGTGTAGGCTTGAACACTTCGGCGAGGTATCTTGTTTGAGCTGTGACGATAAGCTAGTAAAGTTATGAGAAGGATTTACGCCTGTATAAATAGAACTATTTTAATATTACAACCCACACAAAATGTAAGCACACAGAGTGCGATGTATCACATAAATAATTCACATGTGATTTATATTCTACACACACAAATATCTTATGTGTCTTAATGAACAAAATAACTTCTTAGAAATAAGCTCACATACGAAAAATATTTCCCTTTAATATATACTAGTATGAATGTATTTTTTTGCAATGATGTAAGATTTAAAAATACAAAGTTTACTTTTTGATGCAAATTATCTTACCACCACTTGTAATAAAAATCTTTATAATTTTAAATAAAATAAATCGGATGAGAAATGTATGTAAACAGTTAAAACTTTTTAAAGACAATAACACGTAGAAAAAACTTTGAGTTTAAAAAAAAGCTCAATCTTTTATCATTTAACCAGGTCATACGAGGTAAAAACGCTGGCTTAGTTAATTTCCCTAGAGCGGGGATATAAAAGGACGAGCATGTATGGGGAACACGCATGATACGGCAACTAAAAAGAATTCTGGCCAAAATAATAGTTGTTTGTTGCTTGTAATTATTGCTACTTTCAGAAAATGTTACAAAGACATCTATGTTTCGCGAAACACAGGTGCAGTATCATTTTGTCATCGTCCCGTCTTCAAATATTAAAATTAAAAAATATAGTAAATTTTTGTGTTACACCTAAGAACAAGAAAGTTCTTTGAAAGAAAAAAAAACAATGTTTGATGTAGAATTCGGAGAAAACAAGCAATTTAACAAATTAAATTTGAAAGTTCCGACTTATTTGCGAGCAAACTTCAAATGCTTGTTGTTTCTTTTATAACTATGTAGTCGCTTCTAGACAAGAAACAATTCTGCTGCGCACAACATTGAAAATATGTTGGAAACATTTTAAAGTTATGTTCCACAAACATTTTGAGAATATGAAATTAAAAAAAATACTTGTATGAGATTCTTGTATCTAGTTATATGTTTTAGTAATTGCAACTTCTTTATTATATCACAAAGTATGAAAATATCAAAATGAAAATGTATTAATGCACAAAAAAAGTGATCAAGTATTTTGTCACATTTTGTAAGGGATATACAGAAGAAACGAATTTACGTTTCTTCTGTATATCCCTTACAAAATGAAACTTAACTGAATGAATAAAAATAGCTATAATTAAAACGTATGTTCGTAAGTTTGTGTTTAATTATGTATTTTAAGCTTTGGAACCGATTTTTGAAGCAACAGGAATGACTTTAATGGCAGTAAAAAAAAACTCCGAATGTCACATCGAAAAATACGTAGTTTTGTTACTCTGAAAAGCTTAATTAATTTTGTGTAAGGTAACAAAAGTCTTGAATGAATTTCAGATTAAAAAGCAAAACAATACACGTTGAACTTTTTCCAGAATACGTTAATCTTTAAACAAAATTAAAAGTCCGCAGGCCGGAGTAACATAATTGTAGCGAAAGCATGTTATTAAACATTTATGTTTTTAAAGGAAATTTCTCCGTAGTAATGAGTAGTAGAGAAAAAACATGAAAGTTTTAGCTACAACATCATAATTACAATTTCCTTGTATAATAAAGAAATAAAGCACATTATTTATTTGATCTTCATAATACATAAGAAAATAAAACTTATTTTCACTAACAAAATATTAAAAACTCAAATATAAAATCACCATTGAAGAACGAAAATTTTCGAATTGGAATTTATTTAAAAAATAAAATCAATATTATCTGTTACACGACCCTTATTCGAGAAACTTCAGGAAGTTTTAATGATGCCAAAAGTAATTTTAAAGGATAAAGATATCAGTGACAGGATGATGCTGTTAGAACTTTATACAATGTTGAAAAGTTTTTGACAAATAATGACGAATAAATATGGATATATATCCCCAATAATACTGCTATTTCTTTTGATATAAAATTACAATTTAGAAAAAAACTAATTAAGCAATGACATCATCAGAACATAGGATATGAACAATCTAAACAAGAACCCAGATGTTAAATGTTAACCTATTATTCTGTATTGTTTGAAAACTAAAACTTTTGTGTATTGCATTCAAGATTTTAGCTTGTAACTTATAAATGTGTAACCGACCGATCACGAAATATTTTTTATAAGAACGGGGGTAAACGAGCAGCGAGAACACCCAGGTGTTCAACTGGTAATATATATCCAAATCTATCATCGTTTACTAATCCAGATTGCTGCCATTGAAAAACAAAAGAATATGTAAGAAAAGTGTTTATAAACGATCTTTGATAATTATTTTACAAGTTCATGAATTTTAAAGCAGGTATCGGAAACTTGTATTGAATTGAAATAACGGTTCGCGTGGAAATAATAAAGGTGTATCATTGCTATTCCAATATGTCGACTGAACCAGACTTTATGTTTTCATTCGCGCCGTGCGCTCCGTCGCGCGATTCCCCTCATATACACATACATATATTCAGGTTCAGGTATTAAAATTTTATCAATTCACTAACTTTTTTATAGTCCGTACTGATGGAATTTTTAGAGCGTAAAAATATGTTGCTTT